TATTATGAATGTTAATATGTTTTTGACTGCTTACTAAAAGACCCACGTCTGCACTTGCCAATAATCTACCAACCCGCCCAGTGGTTGCGGTCAGAGCCTGGTTGTGAGTGTGCGCGTTGTAAACACGGGCCATTAATTTATGACTTATCACCAACGTATTGATGCCCTTTAAAATTCGGTCTGTAAAAGCCCCTTAATATTGCATTCCAGACCAAATGGTAACTTTATTATCTCGGTCAATGAAAAGCAATGCCGTGGAAACATTGTGTTTGTCCTTTGCATTTGGCGGCCGTCGTCGCAGACACCTCGGGACGCATTTAAATAACGCGTGAAAAGTTCACCTCCGCAGTTCATTTCAAAATATCAAGATTAATTTGATTCGCATTATTCCTCGGCAAGTGTTTTCACCGTGATTTCTATGCACAGCCACGCACCTGGCATTTTGCTACTGAATGACTTGGTGCCTCTGCTCGTGAATCCGGCGCTCTGCCCGGCGCTGTGTTTGCACGCCGCAAATTTTTTTTGAATGCCGCAGCAGAAAAAAATTCAGCCTCCGTGGCATTTGCGCCGGAGCTGCTTTGCGGGGTAAAGGCGCAGCCCTGGAATTGTCTTGCTCATGCTGCTGCTGGCAGAAGCGGCCTCCACTTCGAGGAAGCTCCCGGGAAAGCACCTCGAGAGGGCATTCGTTTTGCTCACTCTTCCTCGTCGGCCGGACACCTCGCGAGGGCCTCCGATACACGGGATGATTGATGATGTGATGAGCCCACGCGAAGCCGTGTACAGAAGCATTACCGGAGACATTTTCACTTGCAGTTGAAAACCAGCACGTGCGCTGAGAGGAGACTAGGGGACCCTTACCACCACTCGCCACTACGCTCACCAACACACGGCATACACCAAACTCACGACAACCCACATACACCACGCTCACCACCACACCCCACTCCACACTCACCGCAGGCAGTGTGCTTCTCAACTAACTGTAGTGTACCATTTGTACTGCTTGGTGGTCAGAGACGAGGGGTGGGGGGGTCGGGGGTGATTTAAGAACCTGTGCTCCGTAATTTCAACTGCCGTGCCTTGAGATGGAACCGGCGGCCTCCGAGTTGCAAGTACGGTTGCTATCTCATTACCCCGCGTCAGTACAGGCTTTCTAAATGCACTGGTGTTTTGTGTGTGTGTGCCAATATTCGCAGCGTTGGCAAGATTGCTTTTGAAAAGTAATATATAAGCAGGCCCTCACAACCAGGGTAATATAATGTCTAATCTATGACAAAAAAATGAGAAACTACGCTCAGCTTGCAGTTTGTAACTTTAAAAAATGTACTTTACTTCTTCATTGTAAACAAACTGGATTGAACTATTTTTCAGTCGGTTTGACAGTGAGTGCGCTTTGAGTCTTATTTTTCTATACATATTCACACAATGGTTAATTCTGATTGGAAGGAACCAGGCACCTATGGTGTTGATGATTAAAATCCTACAACCTATAGAATTTCAGAATAAAAATCAATCTCGCCAGCTTCATCGACCATAATAGAGTTTTTTTTTGGGTTATATTGTGAAAATATAAATGTGTCGTTAAACCCGCTACCACCCGACACAGCCAATTAGTAAGGGTTGTCGTGTAAACAAAACATGCCAAAACATGCCACGTGACAAACCTTACTTATTGGCTGTGTCGGGTGGTAGCAGGTTTAACGGCGCATTTATATTTCCGCCATATAACCAAAAAAAAAACTATTTTATGGATAATATTGTGTTAAACCTGCTTCATTGTGTGGTACACGAAGGACCGCCTTATGGCTGTGCCCAAGTAAAAAAAAATACATGCAAGTAATTGGGGAGACCTGTAGACATTTACTTAGAAATAACCTAACCTAATCAATGACATAATTAACCTTTGTTGGAAACAAAGTTAGTGTTTTATTAAAGATCACTTCCCAATGAGGTCAAAGGGGTTGTTCAAATGTCATAGCGCCGAGACGCATTTTCTGTGATGGTCTCGACCTGGTCATCACTGACTGCACAATAATGCTCATGAAATTATTTTTAAAAAATGCCTGCACTTAATTTGGATAACTTCCAGCTCTGAGGATTAACACATTGCTGCGGAGGGAGCTGGTAGGACCGTTGGGTTGCTCGGTCAATGGCCAGGGTCAACGGCGGCGTGGTGTATTCCGCAAATATGCCCGACTGTGAGGGCGGGCACAAGCCAGCGTGAGTAGGTTAAACGTTGAGTTGTATAAGGGCACCACGGGGTGACCAGCCCCTCCCCACCCATCCCCACCCCTCCCACCCCCCCAGCCAGCCCCACCCTCCCCACCCAGCCCCTCCTCACCCTCCCCACCCAGCCCCTCCCCACCCTCCCCACCCAGCCCCTCCCCACCCTCCCCACCCAGCCCCTCCCCACCCTCCCCTCTCCACCCAGCCCCACCCCTCCCATTTTTGGATGCACGACGGACGGACGGACGGACGGACACAATAATCCCCTGTGGGCTGGTGGAACCAGGCGGTTCCTACCAGTAAAATTGTTAGTTGGTCATGCGACGAGCATTTGCTGTCCGTAGCAGGCAGGTGATGAAGTGCTGCCCCCTAGCCTGCAGAACAGAGAACACTGGATGTGATCTCAGAAGAATCTCTGTGACGTACATATTAACTACTGAGAAGGCGCACGGTTGTCGCTCACTTTTCGAAAGGCAGGCGGGCGGGCCGTAAGCCGGTACCAAACAATTCCCCTAAACTCTGCGTAACTCTCTCTGTATCAAGGTATTTTCAACCAATTACCGAGTCAGTTTAACGCGGAGGCTTTCGCGAGCAAAATCATCCATTGCATAGGTTTTTTTTGGGTTACATCGTGTAAATATATAAATGTGTCATTTAACCCACCACCTAGTTGTAATTACTGGTGAAACGTCGTACTCAGATTGGAAATGTTGTGGCTTTGCTCTCCAACACACCGGTGTGCTGAGCTAGTAACGAATTGGCCACGTTCTGTTTACGTGACAAACCTTACTAGTTGGCTGTGTCAGGTGGTGGCGGGTTTAACGACACATTCATATATTTACGCGATCTAACCCAAACAAAACTATGCTATGGACAATTATTGAGTGTTTGTATGAGTGGTCGGAAAACCGGAGCACCCAGAGAAAAAAACCCACGCATGCAAGGGGGCAACACTCTATCCCATACAGGTGGAACAGATGTAGAGATTAGTGCACACTTTCTGTAGCGCATTCCGGCAATCCGTGGGGTGGCACCTCGACGCCCACGGAAAGGGGATTTCGTACGGTCCTCGCCTCCAGAGTGATGGATTGCAGGTGTACTTCGCCACTGCCCGTGGAATACGCGCTTTTCATCGGTTGCACAGCTCTTGTGCGAGATGCGAGTGAATTCTTGTTCTCCCCAAAACGACGCTGACCGCACAATCGGGATACGGTTCGTGAAAAAAAAAAGTCAACGCAAAACGTAAAATATATTTATCACTTCCCAAAAGTTCGGGGCTGAGTTTAGGGAGGGATTGTAAAAGTTTAGTGCGCAGTGTTTTTCAGGCACCAGCACGGTGCAATTAAAGTTGGTTACGAAGGCGTACAGGGATGCCGCCATGGTGTAGTGGTTAGCACTAGATTTGTAATCCAGGGGTCACCGGTTACATCCCCATTGGTGCAAGCTTCTTCAGTACCCCCTGCCTTTGTCTTCACAGCAGCGTAACAGGTTTACACAGCTAGATTTGAAGCTTTCGTGACTGCAAGGATTCATACTCTTAGTTATTTCGGTAAAGTCACGTAGGTAAAAAATGAAATTAAAATTAATACATAATAAATAAAAAATCACGACGTTTCGGAGGCAACACAAGTCTCCGTCATCAGGTGGGATGTCACATCCACACTCACTTGATGCAGCAAATCTGGCTGTGACGGTCCCACCTGATGACGGAGACTTCTGTTGCCTCAGAAACGTCGTGATTTTTTTTTATTAATTTAAATTTCATTTTTTACCTACGTGACTTTACCGAAAGAACCAAGAGTATAGGTTTACACAGCAGTTGGTCGATCGGAAGGTTGCGTGCGGTGGGGTGAAGTGTGGGTGCTGCGGTCACTACCAACGCCTTTGACCAAGGTGGAAGAGGAGGCCGAAATACCATTGAGAGGAGCTCTCTATAGAACTTCCTCTCGCAGCGTCCCTTCCACCATGAGTGGCATTCACAAGCAATCGCACGGCTGCACCTTTGGCCGTGGATAGAGAAGCTCATGGGACATCTCGCCACGGTGGCTGCGAGATGTTAACTACCTCGCCTGGTGTATCAGGAGGTCGTGGGTTCGATCCCAACCCTGACGCTTGTATATTTGGAATTTGCATGTTCTCCCCGTGGTCGCGTGTATTTTTTTCTTTGGCCTCATTGTTTTTTTCCCCTCCACATTTATAATCAACGTGCATTTAGAGTATTTGGCTGCTATAAATGTCCACACGGTAAGCCACTTTCTTGTGAGGTATCATTTGTGGCCAGGTCGCTTCCGAATAAGAGCTATATAGCTCAGTGGGCCTTACCTGGTGAAATAGAAATAGTTCAGTTTGGTTTACCTGTCAAGGGAAGGCAAAAAAACCCACCAATGTTGATTCATCGAGCCCGGCGCGCCAGATGTGCCGCAGATGAACATCGCATGAAAGTGTCACGAAACGAGATCACACCCTGGGCGGCGGCATGTGTGCGTTCCGCTGACATTATCTCCCCTGCCATAAGCCGAGCTGCACCGCAAGAGAAGTGTTGCGCTGGGCGTCGACAATTCATTTTGACGTCCTTCGTAATCCTTGCGAGAGAGAGAGAGAGCATCATTTTTAATACAAGTCATTAAATGCGTCGCCATATTTCATGCAAGAACAAACTCGGCTGCCTATTTTTAACTTGCCCGTTTAAATGAGTTCCCAGGGATGCGTGCGGGGTGACTGAGAGCGATTCAATTGTTTCCCCGCCTACCTGTGCCGTTCCTCTCTCCGCCCAGGCCCTGGCCGTACACCACGTTCGAGAGCGGTTACGACCTTCTGAACGGAAAACAGCCGACAGACAAAATCTTCAGGTATGTAACCCGTGCCTGCAAGGTGATGGCTTGAAATACATTATTATTATATAACGGTGAAAGGAAATGGTCACGGTCGAGGTCAAACAGTCAAAATTATTTGCTGCTGGAATGGACATCGACGTTGAGTGCTCAGCTCCTGTTGGCACCCCTGGACCCGGAGTGGAAATTCCACATCCTTACTGCAGGGGTGAGTCTATCGTAGGACACACACTGTTGACCTCTCCACAAAGTAGTACTCCTTTTATCACCCCTCTTGAGGGGTGACGAGCTGAGCCACCGGCCATTTGGGTTTTTTCGCTCGCGCCGGCTGTTGGCGGAAGAGCCTCCACTAGAGACAGAGACAGCCCCTCTATGCAGTATTTGTTTGGCCTACTCTTCCACGTTGGCCAGGCGTCTTCGAGGAGGTGGGAGTGCATCCACGCTTTACCCCAACACACGTGACCTGCCGATAGACTAACTCTGCTGAACAGGATAATTGGTTTTTTACCCTTCTATCTGGCAACAAAACTGACACTTTTTTTACAAGGAGTCATGTTTGCATAGACCACAATACCTGCAGCCATAATGCAAACAAAAAACATAACTCTGATAATATATGCACTGTCCTTCAAGTTGATTGGTCCACACCCGAGACAGATTTCCTTAGAGACTAGTCTCACATGGGTTGGACCAGATGACGCCAAAAGGCGCACAACTTCAAGGACAGTGCATATATTATCAGAGTTGTGTTTTTTGTTTGCATTGTCTGCAGGTATTGTGGTCTATGCAAACATGACTCCTTGTAAAAAAGGTGTCAGTTTTGTTGCCAGATAGAAGGGTAAAAAACGAATTATCATATGTTTTACTGGCAAATGAGGTTCCAATGGTGTGCTGAACACATTCATACTGCTGGCTGGACCGAGGTGGTGGTTTGTGATTTAAGTAACTTGTTAATTGTTTCATCTGATGTGCCAGTAATTTAACCCAGTGTGCTCTGCGTTGCAAGACTCGTGTGCTAACCATTACGCTGGCAGTATCCCCCTGTTTTTAATAACACTATCAACTGAAACTGCTCACATATAATGTATATACTTTTCTTTAGATGAAAGAGCCAGTTAAATCATTTGTTTCGCCCCTATTTAAAAGAAAAAAAATATATTGCCACTAATTTTCTTGTGTTGGCATTCATTTTATCATCTAATAGTTTTTTTATAACTTTAGGCCGAGTATTTTTTTTCAGCCTTTGGAATTTAATACAGTCCACCAATAACGAGATGATTAAAATTCATGATCTGTAAATTGTTATCACAATGTCTATTATAAGTTCAGACCATTTTTTTAATACCACTTTGGGGAGAAAAGGATTCTCTTTCACGCTAAAATTGCAAATTAACAACTCGGGGTTCCATGTCTCCATCCCTGCCTGAATCACTCAGCAACCTCCACAACTGCATATGCAACTAGCCGCTGGTGCACCTTGATGTGTGTGTAAAGCTGTAACACTAAAAACTTTTTTTTTTACCAGGTAAGGCCCCACTGAGCAATATAGCTCTCTTTCAGAAGTGACTTGGCTATCACAAATGGTAGCTCAACGAAGTGGCTTATCATATAGCAGCCAAATTTCTCTACAGCAGTGGTTCTGCCCCGGGACTACCGGTGAGCGGTCCGCGATGGTCCGCCAGGTGGTCCGCGAGGCTGTGATGCAAAACGCAGCTTGATCCGGACAATAATGACAACGTTGATACCTCTTGTTTGAGGCATTTATTCAAATTTTACCATGATATTTAGTAAAAAAAATGAAGTTGGGTAAACTACCCTGGCCATAAGATTTAAAAAGAAAATGTATAGCTGTGTTAAAATAATATTTTTATGTTCCAGTAATATGAATCATGTTGTATTAGGAGTATTTAGAGATAAGTGATTGCGTTTCGTCACCAGGGGTGGTAGGGCAGGTTGGTCAGCGAAAATATTTTCATCGGCCGAGTGGTCCGAGGGCGAAAAGAAGAGAAAGAAACACCTCTCTGATGCCGATTCTAAATTGTGGGGGGGGGGGGGGGACCGGAGGACCCAGAGAAAAATCCACGCGACCACGGGGAGAACATGCAAACTCTTAGTTCTTTCGGTAAAGTCACGTAGGTAAAAAATGAAATTAAAATTAATAAAAAATAAAAAAAATAAAATCACGACGTTTCGGAGGCAACACAAGCTTCCGTCTTCAGGTGAAACTGTCACAGCAAAAAATCTGTATCAGCAACACTTCCCACTTGATACAGATTTTTTTGCTGTGACAGTTTCACCTGAAGACGGAAGCTTGTGTTGCCTCCGAAACGTCGTGATTTTATTGTTTTTATTTTGTATTAATTTTCATTTAATTTTTTACCTACGTGACTTTACCGAAAGAACTAAGAGTATGAATCCTTGCAGTCACGAAAGCTTCAAATCTAGAAAGAACATGCAAACTCCAAATATTCCGGCGTCAGAGTCGTGGTTCGAACCCACGACCTCCCGCATACCAGGCGACGGAGGTGACATCTCACCGCCGCGGCAGTGTGCGGACAGGTTCACGTACGGCATGGGCCAAGGCTTGTGGCTGCCCTTCAGCAAGACGTTCGTCGTTCCTCCCGTCGAGCTGGACATCAGCCCACTGGCCAGCTGCCGCACGGACCTCTCCATCACGGAGGAGACAGCCGAAGTCCGGTAGGTCCCCCCCTCCTCCTCCCTCTCCCCCCTCACCCGTGCAGCCAGCCCATGAAATGTTTGCGGGTGAAATATTTTGGCAGGCGAGGGGAAAAGCGAAGACAACGATGCATTGGACGTGTTGTTTCGTGACGCTGCATTGGCAGTGGTGCACGAGCACTGATAATAAAATACTCAACACAGCCATCAGCAACACTTCCCAAAATGTAACATCACCTGACAACGACTATTACTACTATAAGAGAAAAGTTTATTTCCGCGTCTGCCATTCCTCATAATCGTTATGCGTCTACGCTCCGACCATCGCCAGGTGATCTGCGTTATGCCCTTGAACCCTGTTATCAAACCAGGTGTGGATTAATCCCGGTGTGTGTTGAGGAGCGGTGGCGCAGTGGTTAGCACGCTGGGCTACAGACCCGGCGACTCGAGTTCGATTTCCGCTCACGGCACAACACCAGGGACGATTATCTGAAGAGGTCCTGAGCCTTCCCTACTTCGACTTGGCCTCAAATGAGTACCTCTTGCGGTGTGTAAACATCACCACGAGGGAGACAAAGGTGACCGGGCGTGGTGCTGGCCACCCACTTCCTCATAGGTCATGCCGGCCTTCATAGGTGCTCGCAAACAGCACCTGCCCAAACTGTCTGTTCAGGCTATATGATCTTTGGCTTTGTGTTGAGAATGTATTTCTCTAATCCCACCAACTTCGAGGTTAAGTGGGATTGGTGGATCATGCAGAGACGACGCCTACGTGAGACCCACACGCAGCGCAGGCATTATATTTCCATTAGAAGTTGATCGTGAGTTTTTCCCCAAGTACTCAAATTTCCAGTTTATCTTATTTATATATGCTTTACAAGAAAGACATATATATAGCCCTTAAATAATCTCCAGAAAAAAGGGTCCTCCTGAAAATGTCGTTCGAGGCATCCTTGTGCAACAAATGTGGACTTGCTCGCAGTTAAACGACAATTGCCAGTGTGAAGTGAAATGATCATCGCCCTCCATTGTCGTAGACAGTCTGGGGTGGGTGGGGGGGGGGGAGATTTTGAAGCCCTCGAAAGTAGCAATAACAACAGTGCGCATCCACGCAGGCAAAATTGTTTCCCCGTAGCCACACGGCCACGACCTCCGAGTGCATGTGCTACCGGCCGATGCAACGTTTCGTGTTCAAAACAGCCCTCAAAAGCCAGCGGCGTCATACACGCTTTACCATCGCGGCCTGGCATGGAAGGTAACAGTTGGCGGCCCTGCAATTTTCCTCCTCACGCCACTTGCTGGCGGAAGGGCCTCCACTCGAGGGAGCTCTGGAGAGCCCTTGGAGTACTGCACTTCTATGCTCCCCATGTCGATGTTTCCCACCTTACAGCGACCCAAGCGGATCGGCAGAGTGAAGTGTATTCACAGCGGATGAATAAAGGGGCCGTGCATTGACATCTTGTGGGAAAAGCCAAGGTGGGCTTCACGGAATCCTTGCGGTGGATGCCTTACATGCCACCGATGGCCATGCACAGCAGACAACCATCTGACACACAGCAAAGACCTCCCACCATTTCCGTAATGAATGTAAAGTGTGCCAACGGTGGCCTGGGAACATTTAGTAAACCACTGCAATCTGCGCTCCTCGCAAAACTACACGAATAAATTCTCCTGAAGCTCTCTCGTGGCTAGCAGACCTCGACATTGGCATTTAGCTCCTGAACATATTGTCACACGTAAGAATACATGATAAGCTTTTTTTTTATTTTTAAAGTGAAGTTGTTAGCAATGTGTTTTTTTAAGGCAATGTTATACTGCTTGTGCCCGTGCAATATCGCCAAATATTTTTTTTTGCGTGAGACTGCTTCAGTCTCGAGTGGTGCATCGTCACACGACTGACACAAGCGTGGGACGCTGAACATCTCGGGAAGACTCAGAGATGTCCAGGCAGCAAGAATGACTATCCTGGAAGAAAAACAGGACACAAGTGGCAACTCTATCTGGAAAAACGTAGAAATAGCTCAAGAGAGATAACGGATTTGAGCACATGCAAGTTCCTCATTAGCAAAACGAATGTAGCCTCCGAGTAAGTTTGCACATTAATTTCAACGCGCATTGTTTACTGAAATTCTTAATTAAGTGGAGAACTGCTCCGAGCTGCAGAGATTTTTTGTTGCACTGTTCATGGGAAAATAAAGCAAGGCAGAAACAGCGCGTGTGAAATTAATTTTGGCAATTAATGTATTTCTTTATTGGCGAATTGATTTGATGTGAATCTTACCGTGGCTGCTGATTTTAAGCTGAGTTAACCTCAGGGGAGGTTGGGGAGGGGGAAGCTTCCCCCCACCCCCACTCCCCCCTTAACTGTCTGGGTTGAGGAAAATTGTGGTCTGAGTGCATTGTGCATTTGTTGATGGGTCATTGAAGTGGAAACAAAGGTGAGAGTGAAGGAGGCTTACCGACGCAAATAACTTCGCAAGCAGCCGGAGTCAAAAGTCAAAGTGATTTGCTGCTCAAACGAGCATTGAGGCATTGGCGCCCATCTCCCATCCACAGCCCTGCAGAGGCGCAAAGGCAGAAATTGAACACTCCTATTGCGGCAGCGAGTCTACCCAACGTGACTACCACCGTTGACTTCCCCACAAAGTGTTGCTCATTTTATTGATCCCAGAGGGACAAATGGGTTGAGTTAACCTCCCACCATGCTGCGCGACAACCAGGATTTGAAATCGTAACATTCCGATGGCGAGCCCGCTCGCTCGATCGCTGAGCCACCTGTCCTGGTTTGGGCAGAGGAGCGCTCAGTTTGAATTCTCCCTTAATCAAGAGATATTGCAACCCAATGGATTCTCGACTGCTTAAATATAAAGAGTATAAAAGGAACAGAAAAAGGCTGCATCACGACCCAAATTGATCGCATACAATATACATGGTCCCAAACCAATAAGATCCAGCTTGTGTATGAGCTGCTTTGAGCTTATTGGAGCTGTCCCTTACCGAGGTTTTTTTTTTATATAAATAAAATGAAAGTCATCAAGTATCGCATGATGTTGTAAATCGAAGCCGTGCGTGTGTTCCGCGTGTTTTCTGCATGCTTATTTGTTGATTTCTCTCTCGCACCAGCTTACATCGCAGTGTCCAATTTTATTTTAGAAATGCCTCCATGGCTCAGCGGACGAGTGAGCGGCTCCTAATGGAAAGGTTGTGAGTTAAAATTCTGTTGGGGGGGGGGGGGGGTTAGCCCATCATCCTTCTGTGGGTTGATAAAATATCTACCATGTTGCAGGGAAGTCAAGATTGAATTTCGATTTAAAGCTTTCGTGACTGCAGGGATTCATCTTCTTGGTTCTTTCGGTAAAATCACTTAGAATTGAAATAATAAAATAATAAAAATAAAACATAATAAAATAATTCTCACGACGTTTCGGCCACAACGCAAGTAGCCGTCCTCAGGTGGAGAACAGGTCTGTCGAGATTGGTTTTTCAAATGCATTGATTTTCCCCCACTGTAGAAATATGGAATTTCTACCACTGCCTAAGGGCTGTATACAGGAGATGTGCACCAATGCCTCAATGCTCATTTGAGAAAGGCAACACTGTCACTGTTTATATTTGTGCAGTGGGCAGAGTAAGTGATTTAGTCATCTTGCTACACGCAACCTTTGTAGGTGGTGAAGGACTTTGTTCATTTATAATTTATAATACATGCACATAAATTTCCCCAATTTGCATCTCACTTCCGCATTAATCAGAATCAACAGAAATCATAATTGTGCAGCTCGTTGATGTGTGTAATAAATTGTGCGTTTTATTTTTTATTTCATTTATATACATGCTCTTCTGACTTTCTCTTTTCAATTAGACGGCAATGTCCTGGCCCCCCTTTGCACGGACAGACTTCGTCTCATCACTGGTACACATCGCCTTAACAGAGCCACGGTCTCATCACGAATAAATGTTTACCTTCCTGTCTTTATTTGTTTATTATCGAATAACTCTGTTTTTCTTGAGGTTCCTGTTACATTTTTTTCTGGCATGTTTTCCGCCAATTTCATGATCAGTTGTGTTTCTTATACGTGTGTGGGAGGAAAGCGGAGCGCACAGAGAAAACCCACGGCCTCGCGTCACGGTGGTAACACTCTCTACCCCCATACAGATGGAAACTAATGGCGATTAATACACTTTTGCTGGACTGCCTTCTCCTGGCAAGCCAGAGTATGGCACCTCGGCACGCACGGGAAGGGTATCTCACCACATGTGTGCGGTGATCCACCATCACTTGCCTCCACAGTGCTGGATTACGGACGCGCGGATGCACAACCGCTCAGCTATGTATTAAGTGCATTGAATGTAATGATTACGAGAAAGACCTTCCCTTGTCCTCTGCAGACTGACTGCATGGCCTGTCACTACAAAGCACTGGGGCTTAGTGCTATGAACCTACATGCGGATTTTGAGCTTTTGTCGCCCTATAATTCCCCCCTGTGTTTGTGTGTGTGTAGTAATGGCTATGAAATCAATGCCTTCTGGTGAAAGAATTGATACCCAAATAAATAAGAATGATTTACAACTTTAGTCTCGCCTTACGCATGGGTCAGCATTTTGCTCGCATGATTCTGGCAAAAAAAATAGTTTTTTCAGCTCATTTAGCAATTTTTTTTCTTGTGCACCACACAGCATTCCTTTACAAATGAGACAACAATTCAGAATAACGAATGCACGGTGGCTTCATCTACCCCTTGCCAAGTGAACTCACGAAGCATGCACTGATTTGTCAATTAAAATCAATCGCGATGCTCAAAATCGTTTGCAGCTTTAATGCAGACCGTCCTTGGTCAATCTGCTACAGGGCGAAGGCCTGTCTACGCTGTCAGTCAGCAATGTTGTTTGATCATACTTCACCGTGCTGTGTCAATGATAATGGTTGAATTCAGCACCCAGGATAGGTTCAGATATTACTCAGAGTTGATGTTAGCCATGGCTCCGACTTGAACTTAAGTTTCTGGATTAAAAGTGCAATG